TTGGGCCCCTCACTACAAGAAGGACGTCGAGGTGCTGGAGCGTGTCCAGAGAAGGGCAACGAGGCTGGTGAGGGGTCTGGAGAACAAGTCTGATGAGGAGCGGCTGAGGGAACTGGGGTTGTTTAGCCTGGAGAAAAGGAGGCTGAGGGGAGACCTCATCGCTCTCTACAACTCCCTGAAAGGAGGTTGTAGCGAGGTGGGGGTCGGTCTCTTCTCCCAAGTAACAAGCGATAGGACGAGAGGAAACGGCCTCAAGTTGCGCCAGGGGAGGTTTAGATTGGATATCAGGAAAAATTTCTTCACCGAAAGGGTTGTCAGGCATTGGAACAGGCTGCCCAGGGGAGTGGTAGAGTCACCATCCCTGGAAGTATTTAAAAAGACGTGTAGATGTGGTGCTCAGGGAGATGGTTTAGTGGTGAACTTGGCAGTGCTAGGTTAATGGTTGGACTCGATCTTAAAGGTCTTTTCCAGGCTAAACGATTCTATGATTCTGTATGGCATGGCCATATGGTTTGATGTAATGTCAAAAGAAGAATGCCCCTTGCTTTAGATCTTGCTTTCTTTACAGTGTGAATGAATAACCAATGTAAGCTGTAACCTGTCAGCAGCTTGTTTTCAAGACACTGGTGTTTTATTATCCATGAACTATGTACAAGCCCGTACCCTGCAGCACCGGCTATGTGCTCTTCTCTGCAAATTTTGTGCTCCCATTGTCCTCATTATTATTGATCAGTTAGGCAGGGAGAAACTTTGTAGGGAGAGAAAACAAGGAAGTCCAGAGTGATTATGCTCCTTTAAGAAAGTTGTTTCCCTTAAAATATTTCCGTTGTCATTATACTTGCTGTTTTGAATTTCAGGGGAAGTTTATAGCGACCTTTAAATACAGTGGCTATTACTACGGACTTGGAAGAGACACTGTAGAATCAATTGCCAGAGAGGGTCTTGCAACCTGTGTTCACTTAGAAATAGAGGTAAGGATTACTTATTGCCTAACCATTTTTGAATGAGTCATTCTGTGAGAACTGTCCTGGGGAGGAATTCATGCAGTTTGACTAAGGTTTGTTCCAGCTGCCTAGACATAGCCGCTTAGCGACACGAGACATCCTGTGGCTTTCTGCCCAGCTTACAGCTGCTGCTGATACATTTGAACTAGTTGTGTGGGCTGCATTACAGTCACTGGAGATACAGTTGTTTGGTCAGATGAACTGCGTTTTTAACTCCACTGCCTGTATCAAGTAGCTCTCCGTTGTCTATACGTGAACCTCACCACTCCCTTTATAGGCACCCACATTTAGTCAGATGGATCCTTCTGCCGGCTTCTTAAAATTTCCTGGCCTATTTTTTCAATCTTCAGCAGCCTCATCTCCCCACCACATCACCAGTACTTTCCATTACAGTATCCTCAGCTTTTCAACCATGTGCTTTCTACCCATCTGCAGCTTATAGTGAGACTAGTCTAGAGCTGCACACCTACTGATCACCCCTAAAAGAATGCCATGCTTCTCCTTTGCTGATGAAGCAATGGAGAATGCATGCAGGCCTGAGGCAATATTTTGGGCAGAACTATTAAAAGATGTAATCGCTTTGAGGGATTACTTCACCTTCTCTGAGATTTGTCAGGTGGGCATGCACAGATGGCAGAATCTCAGAAGTCTTGCTGCGTTAAGAAACTAGGTCACAAACAAAGTGTCAAAACCTATCTTTTGGAATCCCAAAAGAATAACTTTTTAGCTAATTTTCTAATTACGTACTTCTCATTATCTTAGATCAAGATTTACTAGCTAGGGGTTGAGGTGACAAAAAGGAAAGGCATGCTACGTTTCCTTCCAAATTCTTTCTACAAAATAAGCTCCATCTATATGAGCTTCCAAAATGAGAGACTCTACAGAATACCCAGAATGTGATACTGAGTGTTGCTGGGTTTCACTGTGTTTGTAGGGCTCAGCTCTACCTCTGGGGGATTACTACAAGTTAACATCGCTACTACACGCCATGATAGATGGGGAAAAAAATAATAGATATAAAAAAGAAATGTAGGAGACTGCAGTGCTAACATAGGATCCTAAGCTGTGCATCCGGAGTTAGTGGAATGACTAGGGAGACTTGAGCAAAAATTGATACTAAATTTAATTAATTTTAGGTTGTTTATTTTGTTTGTGAAACTGATGATCGAAAAACTAGTTTTCAGTTAAGAACCTTAGTGTTCATGAGGAGTTTTAGTCCCCTTTGGCCTAAATAAATTTGTACACATTTACTGGCTTGCATATAAATGTACAAATAACAGAATAGCAGCATGTCAGTGCTAAAAAATTAGTAGCTCCTTGCTCAAATGGTCCACAATTTAATGCTGCAATCCTGCTCTTAAGTGCCTGTTACTTGACTAATATTAAACAGCAAATTAATAACTTAATCTCTGTGTAGTTCCATTTCCTCTTTTTCCTCAGTCTCGTGAGAACTGTGAATCACCCTCAGTCTCCACTGATTGCAGTAGGCATTGAGTGTTTTTGTTGTCTTGCCAGACAGACCCTAAATTTACAAAGGAAGAAAAATAGGAGAAGATTAAATATGATGGAATGAGGTGCCTTTTAAAGCTGTCAATTCTTCACAAAGTAGATGTGTTATCAAATAATTTAGGAGAAAGAACTTAATGGAACGTCATTTTTATTCATAAGGAGGTTAACCCAGCAACGTAGGCAGTGACCATAACTTTTGCTGGGTATTACCAAAGCTACTGTTATGGACAGACAACTACGAAACTCCTTTGTCACTGAAGTTTCAAGATCACATAGTAATTATGCATAGTCTTGTATCACGGTGGACACTGTTAGCAGATGAGAAACAATAATGGTGAGTTATGTATCTGAATAGAAGTTATCGAAGTCCATTATCTTCTGCGAGGCTCAACAAAAGTGATTTAGCACTATTAAAAGAAATTTTAATTATGGTCAGTGGGCTGAGACTAAAAATTTAGAGCTGTTCATTCCCTTTAATCTAGAGTGTATCTTTCACTGATAAAGGAGACTGACACGAATTTTAAAAGTTAAATCTTGCTGAGTCTACACTTCCAGTTAGTGAAGCTGCTGCGATTCTGACATATGGTTATATGTTGGAGTAAGCACATTTGCAGTGCTTTCCCTTTGTTTGTGTGGCCACCAGTACCTGCAGAGCAACTGAAGGAGCTGCATGTTCCAACCAAGGGTGTAGTTGTGGAGTGGCTAATGTGTCTCATTATGCTTCCAGAAATAAAAGTACACCTTGTCTCCTGCCAAAGACCACTCTCTATTGCACTTGTTGCTGGTTATCCAGTCATTCAGGCTGGGGAGTCAAAGGAAGTAGGATGTAATACTAGTCACATCTTTTCTATAACCACATGCTATTAACTGAAAAAACTGAGGTGCTTTAGCTATGTTAAATGAATGGATGTCTTCAACTCAGGTAGTCCTTCGATCTTTCTTCACCTCATATGCACATTCAGGAAACTCAAATTTTACTCCTTTTTTATTTTCCAAATCTCTCTTTGGTTTCAAACTGTTAAATCCTGTATTCTTCCATTCTTTATTTTAAGGTCACTTTCCTTATACTCTCTTTATGTCATATTAGACAGTCACTCGTCCTATTGTCTCTGTACAACAAATTTATTGGGCACACCAGAAGCTTTCTGTATCTCTTCCTTTTTTCTCCTCCCTGCTCATCCCAGACTATTGATGGGCTGCCTTCCTATTCCTACATAGTTCTGGGACATATGAATCATTCGTTACATTATTTCTTCATCAGAAAGAGAATTCATTCATGGTGCAACTTCAGATGAGGAGAGTGTTACTAGGCTGGAATGTGGGTCTGCTTTCTGCTGGTGTTCCAATCTCTGAATAATTACAGGCCTAGCTGAAAGTAGGTGGTCACATAGCTGGATGCGAAGATTTCTGTGCCCCACATTCTCCCCTTTAGTTTTCACCAAAATGAATAGTATTTTCCCCAGAATCACTCCCTGAAATTTTTACAATGAATCAAAGTGCTATTCCATACTTAGAATGCTACAACCAGGAAAAAAAATATAGTAAGTGTTCAGCCTATTATTGTTTTCTGCATGGTTTTGCTTGTATTTGACTATATTTTAGAATTATTCTGGAGAATCCCAGCTTTAAGGATGTGATGGTCAGTTCTGATGAACTAATCAACGGTGCTCAGATTTGACATATTAGTTGCTCTCTGTTCCTACCCACTTTAGTGAAGAAGGTGTATCATCCCATGGAGCAGATCATCTTGAGTGCCATCGCACGGCACGTACAGAACAACCAGGTGATCAGGCCCAGTCAGCATGGGTTTATGAAAGGCAGGTCCTGCTTGACTAACCTGATCTACTTCTATGACCAGGTGACCCACCTAGTGGATGAGGGAAAGGCTGTGGATGTGGTCTACCTGGACTTCAGCAAGGCCTTTGACACTGTCTCCCACAGCATTCTCCTAGAGAAGCTGGCGGCTCACGGCTTAGACAGGTGTACTCTGCGCTGGGTAAAGAACTGAATGGATGGCCGGGCCCAGAGAGTTGTGGGGAATGGAGTTACATCCATTTGGTGGCCAGTCACGAGCGGTGTTCCCCAGGGCTCAGTTTTGGGGCCGGTCTTGTTCAATATCTTTATCAATGATCTGGACGAGGGGATCGAGTGCACCCTCAGTCAGTTTGCAGACGACACCGAGTTGGGCAGGAGTGTTGATCTGCTCGACGGCAGGAAGGCTCTGCAGAAGGACCTGGACAGGCTGGATCGATGGGCCGAGGCCAACTGTATGAGGTTCAACAAGGCCAAGTGCCGGGTCCTGCACTTCGGCCATAACAACCCCATGCAGCGCTACAGGCTTGGGGAAGAGTGGCTGGAAAGCTGCCCAGCAGAGAAGGACCTGGGGGTGCTGGTCGACAGCCGGCTGAACATGAGCCGGCAGTGTGCCCAGGCGGCCAAGAAGGCCAATGGCATCCTGGCCTGTATCAGCAATAGTGTGGCCAGCAGGAGTAGGGAAGTGATCGTGCCCCTGTACTCGGCCCTGGTGAGGCCGCACCTCGAATACTGTGTTCAGTTTTGGGCCCCTCACTACAAGAAGGACATTGAGGTGCTGGAGCGTGTCCAGAGAAGGGCGACGAGGCTGGTGAGGGGTCTGGAGAACAAGTCTGATGAGGAGCGGCTGAGGAAACTGGGGTTGTTTAGCCTGGAGAAGAGGAGGCTGAGGGGAGACCTCATCGCTCTCTACAACTCCCTGAAAGGAGGTTGTAGCGAGGGGGGGGTCGGTCCCTTCTCCCAGGTAACAAGTGATAGGACGAGAGGAAACGGCCTCAAGTTGTGCCAGGGGAGGTTTAGATTGGACATGAGGAAAAATTTCTTCACCGAAAGGGTTGTCAGGCATTGGAACAGGCTGCCCAGGGAAGTGGTGGAGTCCCCATCTCCGGAGGTATTTAAAAAAACGTGTAGATGTGGTGCTCAGGGAGATGGTTTAGTGGTGGACTTGGCAGTGCTAGGTTAATGGTTGGACCTGATGATCTTAAAGGTCTTTTTGAACCTAAACATTTCTGTGATTCTATGCCTCAATGAAAATGAAGTAAGCTTCCCTACCTTCCCTACCAGCGCAATAATGTGCATGACCTCACTTATATTTGGACAATTTGTTCATCACCAGACACTACGATGGTTGTTGGCCTGTTTTGTTTTCTTCACAATGATCATTAAACACCGAAAATGATAATTTTTTTATATATGATCATATATATAAAAGTAAAGCCAAGAATTTATTGTTAGTATGATGGAAATTCTGTCTAATTTAAGAATCATCATTAGTCTAGGTGTAATTAGTACAGAAAAAGGAAGAATAATAATGCATTTAGAGTACTTTTATACTGAAAAATTCCCAGTAATAATAATAATAATACAATTTAAATTGTAACACGTGCTTCTTAGTTTCTATCTCTTTTGCTGGTGTTATGCTCACCCTTTCACTGCTCCTTTCGGTTCTAAGGTCAGTGGTTTCCCTCTGGTGTTGTCGTTGTGGGGGATGTTACAGAAAGTTGTCAACTTCTGAGCCCTTTGCTGCACGGATATTAATGTTGATAGTTCCTTCTTTCTCCTCCCAGGATCCTCTTGGGGTCATTTGTATATGTTTGCTAACGCATGTTTACACCTTTCTCTTTCTTCGTTGGTCTGCAGCTCCAGGTTACACAAGAATTCATAGAATCATAGAATCATTTAGGTTGGAAAAGATCCTTAAGATCATCAAGTCCAACCGCTAACCTAGCACTGCCAAGTCCACCACTAAACCA